GGCAGCGGCAACTTAAAAACAGGTTACTGAACAAGTACCTCAAGAGATGCCAGACTAAGCATAGACACGCGAAGCATGTCAGGTTCTCTGGGTGACAAGCTTCACTCCCCAACCCCTGCATCCTCACCTGCGGCTACAAAGAAGCATCCTCGGCCCTAGGCCCTTGCAGCACCCTATGAAGCCCCCTACAAGACCCGAAGCCCTAAACCCTACAGAAACTCCGGTATCCAAGGCAGCCCAGGTGTAAAAGTCAAGGCATCGGCAGTTGGGCTCTCTCGGCGATCACGGGCACCGGCGGGGGCACCGTCGTTTCCCTGATCACGGTTTAAGATGGTTTAAGGGTGTGTTGGCTTGGTTGATCTTTTTTCGGGTTGCGATGGGCTCGACTCGAATCCAGCAGTCAGAATACTAACTCGTAATACTGTTCCTTGGGATAGATTGTTAAATACATTATAACAGACCCCAAAACCCTGTCCTGATCATTAAGGCACATATGTGGAACCATTTTTGTAAAGGTGTTTACAGACTCAGATCTTTGCCGACATAAAGGTTTGAGAAGCATGGGGTGCAGAGCTTTATTAATTGCGGAATATCCCGCCCCTCTGTGCAAAGTTCGAGGAATACGCCTGAAATCAGAATCAGAAGCTTTACGGAGTTCATCTAATCTAATCTTCCATGTGATATACTCTGTACCAGGGAATCGCACGATACGGTTTGTTCAGGGCCCTGTAGAAACCCGGAGACTCTGATCCTAAGCCCTGAACACGTTATCTCGGTTGTTGTTCCAGTGGACTTTGAAGTAACCAGGGAGAAAAAAGTATAGACTTTTATTTCATAATGGTTCCTTTAAGGAACAGGTACCAAAAAAGTATTGAAGTATGGTGCTCCAAACCCAGAGGCCCATTCATGGCATGTCTTCGCAATTGGAACAGCATGTTGTTGAAAAGCATTCCCCTTGCCAGGCAGCATGTCATGCTTCGGGTACGCACTCTTTGGCTACGCAGAACTAAGAAATCAGAAGAATCAGAACAGCAATCCTTAGTGACCCTGCGAGATCGCGTGATTGCAGTCCTCTGAAATTACACTTTGAAACGTATGATCCTGATATGATATGAATCGCTTACTACACGAAGAAGACACCATTAACGCTCTTCCACAAATACTGCACAACCGCCAGCACCAAAGCCTCCACCCCACCAAAGCTCTGTAAGTGCAAAATGCAACTTCGTATCCCCAGCCAGACTGCACGCCAAGCCGTCACGTAATACAAGTGTCTCAATATTGAGGCTCGGGTATCGTTCATCTGAAGGGTTGCCTACCTTAGTACCCATGACATTCCTGAGGCAAGGGCTCCTATTGTAGTCTTACAGTGTGATATGCATAAGCTCTAAACCCTAAAGAACCTACCTTTTTAGGGTCTCCTACTATGATTTCCTTATGTAAGTGCTTAACAACTTAGGCTATGTGGGGTCAGGGTGAACTCTACCCTAAACCCCAAACCTCTAAACCCCTAAACCCTATAGATCCCTTAAAGGAAGACTTCAAGAATCCCTTAATGGAACCCCGAACCCTAGACCCCTATAGATCCCTGAAAAGACCCTACAACCCGCCGTTACTGATCAGAGGCTCTGGCTTCGAGCTGTCCTGTGAGGTTGGATGCCTCAACTCTTGCAGCGCGGCCTGCGACAGAGATTCGGTGTGCCCTTATTATAAAGGGCTCCTTAAAGGGATCTATAGGGTTCCTTAAAAGGATCTATGGGGTTTAGGGTTTAGGGGTTTGGGGGTTTAGGGGTTCGGGGGTTTAGGGTTTAGGGTTAAGGGTCTGAGATCAGGTTCAGGGCTTCGACTTTCTACTTACCTTCCGGATGCAACTCAGCCGTCATCGCAATCCCTGCAAGAGCGGCGCCTCTTCTTGCAGGAGCCTTTAGGCATTTATTTATGAGAACCCGGAGGCATATATATGTACAAATACGTATAGGACTACAAACACATACCTGTGTAAACAAATAAGTGAAGAAACATTATGTATATGTATATATATATATAGTATAGGATACAGTATATGTAGATTGCTCTCATCTTACAGGCAAGAAAACTGCATAAACTAACAAACGCTGGTTTCGGGAGAAATCGGCAAGACATCAACATGGAAACGATTAAGTGAAGGGTGCACCGACCGAAGGCAAGCCGGAATTAGAGGAAGTGAACACAAGTACAGTTATGGTTTCAAGCATCCCTAAACCCTAAAGCATCTCGCAAGCATAACATTGCAACATACGAGGGGAAGACCTCCTGCGGAATAACAGCTGTTAAGATTCTCCCAGTACGCCGGGAAATGTCTGTCCGCAGGCATGACTGCCTAACCCTAAGGCTCAAAATGGCCCAAAAGCCGTATATAATATGGTCTTAGGAGTCTTAGGCCCAAAAGCCTTAATATATGAGTCCTTAGAGTCTTAGGGTCAGAAAGCTGATGTGCCTGCAAAACCAAGGCAAACTACTCTTCTCCAAGGCCATATCGATTGTTTTTGTCTGGGCATTCCGGTACTTGGCGCAGCGATGTCCGCCGGCTTGATAAAGCGTTATTTGGGTCTCCCAAACAAAGCCAAAAGACTACTTAGAGGATCATGGGACTTAGTAAGTAGGTTATAATTGGGGTTATAAGTCCGGTTATCCTAATTATAACCTACTTATAACCTTAATTACTAAGTCCCATGAGCCTTTAAGCAGTAAAGGAAACACTTACACCGACTGCACAGAATGCAGCGACAAGGCGCCTGTCTGTAGAGTTGAGGGGTTCAGGGCTCAGTGTGCCTCTATATCCAATGTGTATGCATGCTGTGTGCCCTTTCTGTGCGCACACACAGTGTGTATACATATGTCTAGAAATACGTGAACATATCGAGAAGGAAGCAATGCAACAACATGGACTGGATTGGAATAGAACTACTATACTGCTCCGGTCTTGCATTGCGTGTACTGCATTGTAGTTGCGTTGTAAGTACCTTAACCCACCAAACCCTACTTTGTTGTAGGTTCTCATTCTAAACCCTAGTATGGAATTTATAGGGACTCTACAAAAAAAGTAGGTTCTGGTGGTACGTGCGCACGATCTTTCTGGAGCACTAATGTTTCGGGCCAAGGCTTTTGCTTCGGGGATGAGGGTATGCCGTACTTGTATACTCAAAGGGGAAAAGGAGGGACCCTTAATGGGGACCCCTACCCTTTTATGGGCTATATAATGGGTATATACTGTATAAGTACAACAAGGAGCTCTAAGCAGTAGCTTTACGAATGCGGTAAGTGTTGGGGGGTATGCGTTCACGGCCAAGGAGCTTGGATTTGCTGCTCGCTGCAAAGATGCTTTAGTTCAGGGCTCAGAGCTTGTACTATCGGGACTTAGGGCTTCGGGTTCAGGGTTGAGGGTTTTCGGGCAGAATATGCAGTAGAGTTGTAATCTGGATGCATTTTCAGTCCAAGCTATGCTATGAGAGCTGCAGGCTGTACAACGTTGTGAGTTGGAGCAGAGGCGGCCAAAAAAACACCACCAGGTAAAGCGTTGACCGTCTCGGTTTTCGTGGAATGCAGAAGCACGGCTGGCACCCCAAACCCCAAACCCTATAGATCCCTTTTAAGGAACCCTTATAGCAACCCTTATAGTACCCTCATAATATCCCTTATAGTACCCCCCTTGTAGATCCCGTTTAAGGAACCCTTCAAGGCCAACACAAGGCCTCTTCGGGGGGGAAGACAGAGACTCGAGCTAGTGCGACCCTTAATAGGGTTTAGGGTTTAGGGTTTAGGGAGGACCCCTAGGTATATATGCTTAAGAAAGCAATTATATACCCATTAGACCCCAATAAGCCACAGAAAGAAAATGTTAAACTTTCCGATTCCTACAAAACTACAAGAACCCAACAAGTTTAAAGGTTGGGCATTGGGGATCTAGGAAGAGCTATTTATCCATCCACAGCGTCATCTTCTATCATGTCTATTGCGGTACACATGCACATGCATGGGGGGTTTCCGAAAACAGGGGACCCTCATATAGCACCCTGAATTGAAACAGTAGGATGCTCACCATAAGGACCCCAAAATAAGGTAACCCTAACAAACGCAAACTCTGAATTTACATCCTTATAGAGAACCCTTACAGTACCGTTATGGTAACCTTTACAGGATGTATGCGGTCAGGGATATGTCCGCGTGGAGCGAGATGAAACAAGTGTAACAATGAAATCACCACGGATGCTGCTGGCTATGATTATGATTATATTACCTGAAACTGAACCTGCATGACCGAACCTGCAGGGTGCCGCGAATCCTGTTGTTTCGCATGTGCAGGGTCATGCAGGATTTATATCGTGAGCCGCTGGAGTGGGCACGCTTCGCCCAGGAGTGAGTAATGAATGGAAGTATTGCTGGCAGTGCTGTGCCTCTGCAACCTGAACATGCCAAGGCAAATTAAAGCAAATCATTGTTGCTGAGGGCACCTTGGCGCAGGATATGTATCGGCGTGTGATGAGCAAGAGTCCAAGCGCTTCTCACCCAGAGGCTCCATATATAGTACCATTATGGAATTAGGCCTAAAAAAACCATCCATATCATGGATTTTGGGACCTAATTCTATAATGGCACTATATATGGAGCCTCTGGGTCAGGCAGGACTCCTCATAGCCTCCATGCATCTCCTCGCAGCGCAACGGCACTCAAGGTGTCGGCCCTGCAGCGTTTGCATCGTCAGAGACTCCTATATCCAGTCTTTAAGGAATATATTTTGAATTACAGTAGGATCCCTGATTAGATTAACTACAGGTATACTCCCTAATATTAAATATGGATATTGGAGTCTCAGGGAGCCTCATCCTTTCCCACAACAGATTCAAAGGGGAGAAGGAGGGACCCTTAATGGGGACCCCTACCCCATAATGGGCTATAGAATGGGTATATAATAGCTATATTAAGGGTATATACCTAGGGGTCCTTATTAAGGGTCCCTCCTTTTACCCTTGGGCAGATGGTGGCACCTGCTCTCCGCCCAGTGCACGGTCGGGCTCAGCCCCCGAGCTCCAACCTAAGTCCATGGTTGGGTTACGGTTTAGGGTACCTTTACCCTAAGGCTCTAAGGACTCATATATGAAGGCTTTTTGGGCCTAAAGACCATATTAGATTAGGCTTTTGGGCCATTTTGAGCCTTGGGGGTAAGGGGATCTTTAAGGGGGTTGCTTTAAGGGTTTCCTTTAAGGGATCTATAGGGTTTTAGCGTTTAGGGTGGTTTGGGTTGATGAAAACATCCTGCAATATAAACTATGGGAATTATGGTATATTCCTCACTATGGATAATGCAGGATTTTTATCATTAACCGTAGTCTTGAACATCTCGCTCTCACCCTCCATCAATATATGCCTTCTATTAAACCCAAAATGCCCATTGTTTGCGACCATATACCCTGAATCCTAAACCCTAAACCGTATACCCCAATTCGAGGGTACAAGGACGGTTCTGGAAGCTTCCGCTCCTTCTTGGGTTTAAGCACGAAAAAAACCCAAAATGTTACCCAACGATGACCTAGGAACGGGGGATGGCTGGAAATACGCAAGGGTAGGGACGGTAGCCTTGCATCACGGCTAGGGCCAGGTAAAAGGGCATGAGCCCTATGAGTGAATACGGGAAATGTGGACCTGGTGAGCCACTCACAAAACAGTTGGCATAGCAGGCAGCATACCCCGCGTAGCCGCAACTCGGCTCCGTAATCGCGACGAATGCGAAGCCCGCCGCTGCAAGGATATGGAACTCAACGCGGAAAACTGCCGAGGGACCACATTCACTGCGTTTGCGCCATTCTTTGGGGCGGTCGTGCTGCCACACCACAAACCTTGACTGAACTTAGAACCCTAGCAAAAATTAAAAATGTTATAGCTGTTTCTTAGGGATTATAATAACCAAAGATTTAAAACAATATTTCTAAGTACCCCTAAGAAACCATGGGAAGGCACAGCTCAGGGCCAGGGCTGCGAGGCTCCACATGAAGCCTTGGAAGTGCCTGTCCCCTGGGATCACCACCTGGGGCAGTTGTTAAAATTTCGGTCACTTTTTTGGGGGTACCCTAAATATTAGGTGCCGTATTATGGTAAGGTACCAAAAAGGGGGCCATAATTTTGACAACCACCCACCTCGGCCAAACCGGCGAGTACCACAACCAGCTCAAGTGTCCGAACCAGTTTGATGCGACACTTCCCTGCGCCCATGGCCTCTGCTGCGCCGCAGCTGGCAAGCAGAAGGCAGCTCCATGCCAGGATGATAACCACCTAGGATACCCAGTAACCTAAGAATAAAAAGGCCTCTCTTTTTGGTATTGGGTAACTTTATAAGGAACCTAGGACTACAAAAAGGGAATAAGGGTACTACTGGAGATCCTAGCCACCTTGCTGATCTGGATGGCCCAGTTGATATCACCCGGGTAGAACTGCGTGGCCAGCCCCGCTGCGACATACCCCAGAGTAGAGAGAATGTAAAAGCCCACGTGGAGCTTGTCCCCGGCCCGGATCCCGTCATCCTCTTCCCAACGCGTAGACCTCTTAGGGTTTGGGTTTACGGTTGAGGGGTTTAGGGTTTAGGGCTTGAGCGAGGGGTAGGGTTGAGGGGTTTAGGGTCTGAGGGTTTAGGGGTGAAGGCCTCTCGCACAGAATCCACAGCAGAAACAGACCAAACACGAGGGAAGCACAGGCGCAGCCGTAGAAAGTTCCCCGGGTCGCTTCATGAGCGTCTGGGGTCTGCTGGGGGTCTGGGAACACTGCCCAGGGAGGAGACGCTTGCCTGCATTCCATGGCACGAAATGGGAGTTTCCGAAAATTCGGGGGAAACCTTATTTGGGGGTCATTATAATAAGGATCCTACTATTTAACATTTAGGGTACTTTATTAGTGTCCCCTATTTTTCGGAAACTCCCAAATCCTCGGGCCGGTGAAAACCTCAACCCGGAGGGTCACTCCTCCGCGAAGAGTCGCCTAATGTGGTCCCCCTACTTGATGGGAGGCCAAAAGGGGGCTTTAAGATTCTTGGGGTAGGGATTCCTTAATATGAACCCTATTATGGGAACCCTATAATCCCTACTAAACCCCCATAGGCTAAACCCTTTTTGGCCTCCCATAACTACTTGGATGCAGATCCAGTGGCTGTCGGCAGCCATGTGATGCGGCGTTGCCTGCATATCCTGTATAATACGAATACACAGCACCCTGAACCACGGGCGAAGTGACCAAGGAAGACTGAGTTGATCAACGAAAGCGTTCAAGCGCTTCTTCTCAGAAGACTAAAATCTGAACTCCTGATATTACCTTCGAAAAAGGAAGACCTAGCATAAACCCCTCAGAACCAGAAGTAATTGGGGTTTAAGGTTCAGGAGTAACTGTTAACCATTGGCAATTCTTACGACCCCTATACTATACCGAACTTAGAACCCTAGCAAAAATTATAATTTTAGCTGTTTCTTAGGAATTGCAATAACCAAAAACTAAAAAATATTTCTAAGTACCCTAAGTATAGTGCCCCTAAGGCTCAAAATGGCCCAAGAGCCTCATATAATATGGTCTTTAGGCCCAAAAGCCTTCATATATCAGTGCTTAGAGCCTTAGGGTACTGCTTTCCGGCTGAGTGTCCCCATGTCGCCTTATGGCTCGCAGGTTTTAGCATCTTATCCTCTGTGCAGTTACGAGTTCAAGCGCCGAAAGGGGCTCTACACGAAATCCCTAAAGCTCTAAGGACTCATACATTAAGGCTTTTGGGCCTAAAGGCCATATTATATAAGGCTTTTGGGCCGAAAGGCCATATTTTATAAGGCTTTCGGGCCATTTTGAGCCTTAGGGTTAAGGGGATCTTTAAGGGGGTGGCTTTACAAGGGTTTCCTTTAAGGGATCTATAGAGTTTTAGGGTGTAGGGTTTGGGCTGATGGAACGGGTTTGCTCTCCTCTTCAACAACCTTTCCCTGAAAAAACTTTCTAAGGTAGAGCTAATATATAAGGCCAAAAAGTTTAAAGTTCTCCCGTTCACTATCTAAGCTCATAGATCTTTTTGGAGAACCCCTGTGAAGAACCCATCTATAGGGTTTTGGGGTTTAGGGTTTGGGCCGATGGAATGGGTTTGGAGCCAAGACCCCCCATCGGTGGCCTCGGAGTAGGGAATCCCGGGCCTCCGCTCGCAGGGTTCGGTTGAAGGATCCTTTTCGGTGCCGTTGCGTCTTATTAGGGTTTAGGATTGAGGGTTTAGGGTTTAGGGTTTGGGATTTAGGGTTTAGGGTTTAGGGTTTGGGATTTAGGGTTTAGGGCTTAGGGAGAAAAAGGTATAGACGTTTATTTCATCATGGTTCCCTTTCAGTAACAGGTCCCCAAAATGTATCACGGTACTCCCAAGCCCAGCTCGGCAAGAGTTGGCGACAAGGATCCGAGAAAGGCTCCAATCCCGTTTTAGGATTGATCGTGCAAACAAGGTACCCCTTGTTTTCTGAAACCCCCACATTACTTAGAGGATCATGGGACTTAGTAAGTAGGTTATAAATGGGGTTATAAGTCCCCTAAGTGGGGTTATTCTAACTATAACCTACTTATAACCTTACTTACTAAGTCCCATGAGCCTTTAAGTACTCTTCAGGATTTGAGCTGCTACTGTAAGCGCCGCGAGTCTTCGCGGGGTTAGAGGTGGGAGGATCGGAAGTAGCGAGGAGCATCCCAAAGGGTGCTAAGTGGGTTTAGGGGTTTACTAGGTGGTGGGGCTTTTAAAGCCTTTGAAAAATTATTAGTAAATAAGATCCTCTTAAGCCCAATAAGGGAAAATATAAAATATCCCAAAGCCCTACCTCGTTTAGGGTTTAGGGGCTAGGGTTTAGGGGTTTAGGGGTTAGGGTTTAGGAGCTTAGGGGTTGCGGGCGAAACTTCTCCAAATCATAATAGCAATTCCTAATGTAGAAAGCCTACATTCTACTGTAAAGGTTCTTTGGACCCTTTTGGGCATTCCATCGCCACGGTGCGGGGTCAGACCCTTGATCAAATCCAAAACTTCGCGACCAAATAAAGGGCATTTTTCCAGGACGCTTTCTTTGGTGTTGCTGGCTTTCGGATGCAAACGCTTGCCAGGCAAATGCGCAACTTACTTAAAGGCTCATGGGACTTAGTAAGTAAGGCTATAAGTAGGTTATAATTAGGATAACCCCACTCAGGGGACTTATAACCCCAATTATAACCTACTTACTAAGTCCCATGATCCTTTAAGTAGGGTCGTGTCAAACCTGGGTATTCTAAACCCCCGATCGAACATCGGCATCTGCAGAAGACCATAAGGACCATAAGGGATGTGTTCAGAGAGCATCCCCCCAGAACCCTAAACACCTTAAGTGCGATCCGGAAAGCGAAACTTCAAATTCCAGGCTAGACCTAAAACTTCTAGGATTCTAGGCCTAATGCAGAGGCCTTCACCGTAAGAATCTGGTCTTGGGGTATGAACTACTATTGTCATGTCATTCATGGGCTTTCATGGAATTTCATCACCAACTCTTCCGACGCATATATTCACCCCGAGGGCCTTACCCGCGCCCAACCAATCAAAACAGCAGTGGGGATCTTAACGTTGCTGCAATTGCAGAGCAAAAGGGGTGCACCAACCCTTTACCCTGAACAGTTTAAGTGAGGGGTCATGAGCCTTCTGGACACTATACCCGGATACCCTATAAGTCGAGCCCACAAAGCTGGAACATTATTCTGCTCATGCCCTTAAAGTAAAGCCCAGTAAAGCCCTAGCACTCATCCTCCTAAACCCATGTTCCAACTTTCTGGGATTCGCTATTACCAAATCCTTCCACGGCTCTCCTGAGTGCCGGACAGCCCTCCAACAGTGTCCATGAACTCTGTGTTCGTGTCGTCTGAAACTGCCAGCTGGTTGAAGAAGGGTCTTGGGCTTAAGTAGGGTTAAGAAATGCTTTTTTGGTGGGTTAGTGTGAATGATTTGGTGGTTTATGGTTGAGGGATTGTAGAGAATGTCAACGTTTCATGCATTCGTGACTATTCGGAGGCATAGGCTGCGGACACTCCCTGTTTTCCTGGGTTCCTGGGTATTTCAAGCCTTGAAGGTTTCGGGTTTAGGGTGGAAGGTTTAGGGTTGAGGCGGACGGAGCTCGGAGGCCTCAAAAGGTGGGATGAAGGTAGGTAGGATTAAGGATCCCTGATACAAGGACTCTTATTTGGGAATATCCCACCTACCTTCATCCCACCTTTGAGGCCTCCGAGGAGCAAGAGAGCAAACAGGTCGTTGATGGCATTCGGCCTTATGCACTGTGGACTGTTCTATACCCTGAAGGCCCCATTTAGGGCTTTTCCATGGTTCAAGGGTAAAAGGAGGGACCCTTAATAAGGATCCCTAGGTATATACCCTTAATATAGCTCTTACATAGCCATTATATAGCCCATTATACTATACTGAACTTAGAACCCTAGCAAAAAATATAATTTAAGCTGTTTCTTAGGGATTCTAATAACCAAAAAATAAAAAGTATTTCTAAGTACCCCCAAGTGTTGTGCTCCATCAGTGTCCATTCTACAGGTACTTAAAGGATCATGGGACTTAGTAAGTAGGTTGTAATTGGGGTTATAAGTCCCTTAGTGGGGTTATCCTGATTATAACCTACTTATAATAACCTTGCTTACTAAGTCCCATGAGCCTTTAAGTATCTCGTTGTTGCATACGAGGCTCCTGAGCGATCCGGGGTCGACAGGCCTTCCTTTTGGTAAGTTCCAAATCTGGCTGAAGGACAAAGGCATCCTTGTAGGCCTGTAGGAAACGCAATAAAGGGGCCCTAATACTAAGAATAGGGTTGGGGGGCATATTATGCGATAATTATAACAAGGCAGACCCCATTCTAAAAATTAAGGCCCTTACATGAGGAAACGTACGGTCAGCTCTGGGATCCCACCAACATCATCCAGCGTGTAGTACACCTCGAAGTTCGGAGCATCGGAGTACGCCTCCTCCACACTGCATAGAACTCATCGCAGGACATTTTCGCAATGACCCTCGCGGTTTAGGGTTTGTTGAGATTCATGGAACTCCCGGTGGCCACGCCGGCTACGCGCTCGGCGTGCGCCAGACTTGTCTCGTCGCTCTCTAGTCTCAGCGTTGCCGGTGGAAATGTGAAGCTGCTCGTGTCCTGAAGGCTTCCCTGATGGTCCAAGTACCGAATAATCATATACTTTCCCAAATAGCAACCTACATAACTACCATCCGAAACCTGAATACCGAATTGTTGTGTCCTTTGGACCCTTAGGGCTTTTGCTTCAGGGCTGAGTTTCGAGGGTAAGCTCGAACTGTGCAAAACCGCAGAGAATCCTTGATCTTGTGAAGTACTGAACCCCTACTTAAAGGATCATGGGACGTAGTAAGGTAGGTTCCTTTAAAGGGCTCCTTTACGGGATCTATATAGGGGTTCTATAAGGGGCAGTTTAGGCTACATCATGGGACTTAGTAAGTAGGTTATAATTGGGGTTATAAGTCCGCGAAGTGAGGTTATCCAAATTTGTATAACCTACTTATAACCTTACTTACTAAGTCCCATGAGCCTTTAAGTATACCCTAAACCCCTAAACCCTCAACCCCTACCCGCCTATGCATCCCAACTACATGGCCTTCGTGACCTTGAACCCTAAACCCCTAACCCCCTAAACGCTGAACCCTAAACTCTAAACCTAAACCCCGAACTCGTTCTCGCGACCACCCCGAGCAAAAGCCACGCCTGGAGAGAACTCAGCGGTCTCCCACAGTTGGTGCCGGTGCCCTGGTCTTAGGG